TTATTTTAAGGATGCTGTTTTTTCAACCTTTCCAGAAGATGTGGATGTGATCACCCTGTGGGATTTGAGTCTGATCATCACCTTACAGAGTTGTGTTCTACTGATTGCCATGAGGTTTGTGCCTGTCACTGGTTGTATTGTTGGTAACCCGTGTCCCCATTTGAAACCCATCTGCATCTGAGATTATTCCTGTGGTCGTGAGGGTAGGTTCCATGTGATGCGTTCATTAATGGAAACACTCGAAGGCACTTACTTTTGCCTGAAATCCTTTTCCTAATGGTTACCTGAACTACCCAGGGAACATGTCCTAGCGTCCTACCAGAGTTGTCATTGGTAACATCACAACATTACAGACTCCTGTGAGCCCCACATGCATGTTGTTTGGTTCCTGGGGATGAGTACTCCCTAGGAACCCACCTGCAACCTCTATAACATAAGCACAGTTGTGATACTTTATTCCCTGTGAGCAATGGTGGCAGCTGGTCTCTGTCCAGGTCCACACACACACACACACAATGAGTGTCAAGTACAGTCATCAAAGCTATTTGGGATAATCACAGAGATGACTCTGACAGAACACAGAGATGGGGAAATATTAGAAACTGGAAAATACAACTGCATGAACCCGATTCTCTGTATTTCAGGTAAGCTCAAGAATAAGCACAATCATCCTGTCCCCATTTCGGGAGGGTTTCCACATTCTTAATGAGCCTGCCCACTCTGTTCTGCAGGTAGTTCAGGGATGCTGTAAGTCCTGTGGGAGGAGCACAGGACAGACACCATGGTCACTCTTACCCAATGCATGTTCTTGGACACCTCACAAATCCTCTAAAATTCCGGGTATATGTTCACATATCTTAATGGTGTCACATGAAATCTACACCTAAAGATTTCTGTGCATGTGTGAAAAAAAGGTAGCCCATGGAGCCTAAGATTGTGATCTGGAAAATCATATAATACAAAATATATTTTCCCAAATTCTCACAATAACAACAAATCAAAGGCAGTCACACCGGCTCTGGTCACTGCCCTCTCTGTCAGCATAGATCACAAGTTGGCTATTTATTCAGAGGACATGCAAATATGGCCCTCCCTCTGCTGATTAAAACTGCCCAACCCTAACCCTGCAGCTGGGAGAGGAGCCCCAGCCTTGGGATTCCCAGGTGTTCCTGCTCATAATCAGGACAGAACACAGACAACTCACCATGGAGTTTGTGTTTCACTGGGTTTTCTTTGTTGCTATTTTAAAAGGTAATTTACAGACAACAAGAGACATGAGTCTCTTGAGTATGTGAGTGGATATGAGTGAGAGAAACAGTGAGTGTGTGTGACAGTTTCCTGAGCAGGATGTCTTGTGTCCACAGGTGTCCAGTCTGAGGTGCAGCTGGTGGAGTCTGGGGGAGACCTGGTGAAGCCTGGGGGGTCCCTGAGACTCTCCTGTGCAGCCTCTGGATTCACCTTCAGTAGCTATGCCATGAGCTGGGTCCGCCAGGCTCCAGGGAAGGGGCTGCAGTTCGTCGCAGCTATTAGCAGTAGTGGTGGTAGCACAGGCTATGCAGACTCTGTGAAGGGCCGATTCACCATCTCCAGAGACAATGGCAAGAACACGCTGTATCTGCAGATGAACAGCCTGAGAGCCGAGGACACGGCCGTGTATTACTGTGCCAGTGACACAATGAGGGGACGTCAGTGTGAGCCCAGACACAAACCTCACTGAAGAAGGGAATCTGGACCACCAGGGGGTACACACTACTCACAATTTTGTCTTTAAGGCCCAGGAACAGATGCAGCTGGAGGATATGGCATGTTTCCTCTCAGGATCTGGGGCTTCCTCTCTAATTATAGCTGTTTCCCCCCCGGGAGCCTCTCCGCACACATAGTTCTGTGCTACCTATTCATTCTCTGACAAATAAAAAGTTGAAGAACTACTATAGTAGCAAGCGCAAAAGTCAGTGTCACTTGCACTTGCTTATTCCTGGACCTAAATATGAATGAATTAAAATATCTCCATGCAAATCCCCTGAATACTTTCAAGAGTCCCAGCTGCACTCACTGTGTATCGTAGGAGAATCCAGCTCAGTGTGCAAGCTCGCAAGAAGTGCACTCTGGATATGGGGCTACAGTGGCATCAACAATCCAAAGCCAGAGAAGAAAGATCCCTGGTGGGGCTCACTGTCTTTAACCATGTTCCCAACAATGTTAGTGGCAGTGAGGGAAACAGAGGGACCCCCACCAGGACATGGTGTGGATGTAGAGTCTGTTGATCACACACACACACACACACACACACACATACATACACACAACATGAGAACATAAAACTTTCATCCCCTTTACCATCTTGTCTGTTGTAGAGCAGGGCAGGCCTCTCCTCAAGTCATAACTGCTTGGATGGAGCCAAGAAAGGACAGTGGCTCAGAGGGTGTGCTGTGGGTCCGTGGTGGGGATGGGGTTCTGTTCATGGGAGGGGTTTAAGTGGAGTCAGTCTCCCACCTGAATCAAAGGAGGGAGAACTGGTGTGTTCTTGTTAGAGTTTCCATCTGTGAGGCATGAAGAGAAGAGTGAGGAATGAAGGTAAGGAGCTAACAGGCAATAATCAAAAGATACCTTGTGATGACTTATTCGACTACACACCTGTGAAAATGGCAAGAACAAAAGAGAGAAATGGCCATTCTGAGTAGAAAATGATTCGAATCCTTGGAAATTTAGAAGAATAATCCATGGAAATATCACAATTAATAAGATAATGATAGAAGTGGACTGAGTTCTACCTGTGTCTGCAGTGGAAGCTGTCCACTCCCCAAGGTCACAAACTGGTTCTGATGTCCTTGTGTTTGCTGTGTGCACACAGAGACCAGAAGGTTCTACTGGATCCATGAGAATCCTCAGGCTGAGGTGCTGGATGGGTGGAGCCTTCCACCTGTGGGGAATAAATAATTATCTTTCAGTTCCTGATATCAGCTCATTGTGTATGACCTCGACCATCACAGGCTGAATCCTAAGGACACTGTGAAGGATCGAGGAGGACCAGCCTTAGGGAATCATTTAGGTCAGGAGGGCGCAGTCTCATGACAGGATTACTGCCCTTATACAACAGGACTGAGAAAGCTCCCTGCCCCCTGATCCCATGTGAGGTGACAGGGAAAGAACGCACTAGGAGGTGGGAACCCTCCAGACACCAAATGTCTGCACCTTGACCTGGACTTCTCAGAATCCAGAGCTGTGAGGAATGGGTGTCTTTTGTTTAAAACCACCCACTCCCTGTACATTGTTACAGCAGCTGGAACAGACTGAGACATTAGTGACAATGAACCCAAGCACTGATGCTCTGACATTTCCCTGCTGCATTTGTTTGGAAAATACCTGGTAAGTTCCTTCAGTGAGGTTCCAGGGTGGATTTCTCACATGTTCCCTCCTGCAGATAGGACTAACCAGGACTCTCCTAAGACTCTGTGAAAAGACACAGTGGACACACAGAGGGAGAAACGTGGTACAAGGGAGTCAGGGTTTCCCAGAATATGTGGAACTTTAATTTAAGGATGCTGTTTTTTAAGTCTTCCACAAGATGTGGACGTGATGACTGTGAGATTTGAGTCTGATCATCACTTTACAGAGTTGTGCTTTACTGAAAGCCCTGAGGTTAAGCCCCTTTGTTCCCTTGCTCCTGCCAGAATCTTTACTTGTCTGTGCTGTATTTTGTGAGTTTGACTACAATATGCCTTGGAGATAGCCAGCTTTTGTTGAATTTATTAGGAGTTCTCTGTACTACTTGGATTTTGATGTCTGTGTCCTTCTGCATATTAGGGAACTTTTTGGCTATTATTTTATGGCATAAAACTAATCCCCCTTTTTATCTCTCTTCATCTTCTGTGACTCTTATGATACAAATGTTATTATGTTTTAATAAGTCACTGAATTCACTAAGTCTACCTTCATGGCCCATTACCTTGGTTTCCTTCTTTTCACTCATTTTCTAGAATTTTATCTTGTATACCTGGAATTCGTTCCTCTCCTTCATCCATCCTCATTTTTTATGGCCTCCACATGGGATTGCATCTTAGATTTAGTTGTTTGTCGGTTTTTGTTGTTGTTGTTGTTTTAATTTGATCTGATTAAATTTTAGTTCATTTATCATTGCAGTAAGGGATTCTCTATTGTCTTCTATCCTTTTCTCAAGCCCACTTTCTACCCTAAAAATCATTGTTTTAAGTTCTAGTTCAGACATCATACTTATATTTGTATTGATTAAAAGCCTGGCCATGAGTTTTACTTCCTATTCATTCCTCTGGGATAAACGTTTCCATATTTTCTTTTTTCTTCTGAAAATAAAAAAAGAAAGGGTTTAAAAAGTCAAGAAATGAAGATCCTGGGTTTCTTTTGGTCTGCTTCTAAAAAAGAATTTAGGTCGGGGCGCCTGAGTGGCTCAGTTGGTTAAGCGACTGCCTTCGGCTCAGGTCATGATCCTGGAGTCCCGGGATCGAGTCCCGCATCGGGCTCCCTGCTCGGCAGGGAGTCTGTATCTCCCTCTGACCCTCTTCCCTCTCGTGCTCTCTATCTCTCATTCTCTCTCAAGTAAATAAATAAAATCTTTAAAAAATAAAATAAATAAAATAAATAAAAAATAAAAAAGAATTTAGGTCACAAAATAAATAAAAATATAAAATAAAATAAAGTAAAAATAGAAGAAATAAATATATATTTCTAAAAATAAAAATGAAAATATAAGAAAAAATTAATAATAAAAATCAAGAAAGAAGAATTTGAAAATAAATCAAAAAATAAAAATAAAAAAACCTTAAGAATGAAAGTAGAAAGAAAGCTAGATCCTACATCCCCTAGAGCTGACACTTCACAACATTCAATGATCATTAGACTTGGTGAGAAGGAATAGATTCTGCTGATCTCAGGGAGGTGCCTGTTGTGATTATTCTCAGGGGTTTTGGCCTAGTGGAAATGCACATCTTGGGAGCAGGGGGCAGGGCTTGGTGTAAGTGCCTCTGGCCCCCAATAGGTACAGCTGTTTTGCACTGATGGGTGGGTTAAATATGGCATCTGCCCTCTAAACTGGTTTTGAAAGTTCACACCCCGCACTCTTCAGTGAGCCTTCACAGGAAACTGTCCCTTCACCCTGCCTGTGTTGGAGCTGCTCTATCTCAGGCACACGACTGAGTTTCAAAACCTCAAAATTAGGGACTCCCTTGGGGTAGACCCATGTCATTTTCCAGGGGAGGGTCTCATAGCTTTTTTGCCTTTTGCCTACAGGTCTCAGAAAAGAGGTCATATGACCACACAGTGGTTCACCCTTTATGGCAAAGCAGAGCAGAAAGCCTGCACTTAGTCTCACTGTTGAACCAGGTTTCGGGCTCCTATGCCTAGTAACTGTGCATCACATTGGTGGCGCACATTCTTCTTATGGTTCAGGGGGACCTCAGACCCTGTATTTCTGCCCCACTTTGCCACTTCAGCATCTTTATTCCAGACACATCCCCACAGTAGCAGACTTCTAAGAGTTCAGATTTTGTTCTCTGCTGCTATGATACATTGTCGATAGCTTCAGGAGGCTCACTCTTTCCCTGCGGTCATCACCACACTTGTATCACCCCCAAGACAAAACTGCACACCTCCTATATTCCAAAAGATGGTTGATTTTTCTATTTGTACACTTGCAGTTTTTGTTCTCTCACACCCCCGACTGATTTCTTGGTTGCTCAGAATGACTTGATAACTACCTAGCTGCGTTCCAGGGTTGAGACAAGTGTAGGGACACTTACTCCTATTCCATCACACTTCCTCCCTCCCTCATTTACTTATAGCAAAGAGGCTGTGATAAATTCCTTCTGCTGTATATGCTGAAGCTGAGACTTGTAATCTGGTGTTGTGTTTCAGAATATCCTACCTTATTTCCCTCTCTATTCTGATCCAGTGGTTTTATGATTCAATTACTGTTTGAGTGTGGAATCCCATTAAGTGTTATGCAATTATTATATTATTTTGCACTCAGTAATGGTTCACATATGTGCTCCATGTACATAACCTGACTCAATGACAGGCATAGAGAAATATGCACCTCCTCGCAGTGAGCCCAGGCCTTTGAACAGGATATGATGTGTGCTCCTAAAGGACAAGAATTGCAGGAACATTATTAGCACCACACCATGACTCTTTACAGGGAAAGCAGGTACATTTTGGATGGTATGGCAAGTTGGCAGATTTCCTGATGCACAGGACCATTCAGGGATGGAAGCTGGGGGATCTGGAGGCAGAACAGAAGTCCTTGTCTCATCCAA